AAGCCTTACCTTCCTGTGCCCTTTAGCAGGTTGCCGTTGCCTGGCAGAACTTATTTTTAGTGGTGGTCATTTGTAGTTACGTGAGAATCTTTCCCACGGCTGAATTTTGATAAACAGTTCATCTGTTTCCTTGTCTCTGAAGGCCAGCCTCATGTTTTATTTGGGGAATTGAGATTTGTTGCCATCGGACTCCGAAATTCACCATTAAAAAGAGGCAAAATGAAGCAAGAGTGCCCCCAGCTCCTGCACCAAGTGTAGAAATTCAGGTTTTGAGAGCTATTTAGGTAGCCAGGAAAGAAACCAAGTCTTTGGGCGACTTTGTGGACTTTTAAGAACAATCTTTAAAGTGTGTATGGTATGTGTGTGTGTGGGGGGGACCTCATGTGTCTTTGAAGAGATTTCTCTCCCCTCAAGTTCCCCCACTCCCACCCCAACTCTACTCACACTGACCACTCTGCCTTCCAGAGCTGACCCCTGTCCTGCACTCACTTCCAGGGAGTACAGGGCCGGGTAGCATGCAGTCCTTTGTCCCACAGAAGCCACAGTGTTTGTGTCTGGGCCTGCTAAGCTCCTGTCCCAACCCACCCCCCAGAATTTTTTTTTTTTTTTTTAATGACAGGAGCCAAGTGACTTAACTTTGGATCCCTGCCAACTTGGTCTGGCCTGTGGGAGACTTTGCAACTTGCAACTTCATTGTCTCTCACACTGAGTGTGTTTTGGTTGTTGGCTCTACACGCAAAGAGCCAGGTTGGGAAGGTGCAAATAGACACTTGATTTCTACAGGAGCTTGGCCTACAGGTAGAATCAGATGATTTTCTCAGTCTCCCTTTGTGAAACCAGCTAATGTTGCTAAACTTTCCTTTCTCAGAACAGCTTCAAGAAAGCAATGGACATTTGATTTCTGAGCCTAAAGATCTTGGTAACCTGCAGGGAGCACAGAGACTTCAGAATGCTGGAGCAGACTGGAGCAATGCCAGAGATTGTGTTCCTGTTGGAAAGAGTCTGGACACGCACTCCAGGGCCAATCCAGAAGTGTCAAGGAATCAAAGCCCACAAGTTCATATAGGAGAATGGAGTCCCTGCAAAGGACAAGAAACAGCTGGGAGCATGGCAGAGAAGCTGTCCTCCAGCAGCCTGCTCAGGGACAGAGCTAAAGCAGCCAGCCTTGCACAATCGGTCAGTCAGGACCCGGCAGGCCACGAGGACTGGGAAGTGGTGTCTAGGCACTCATCTTGGGGGGATGTTGGTTTGGGTGGCAGTCTTGAGGGCCTGAGTCAGGGAATGAATGATGGCAGAAGTACTCTTGTGGGAGGAAGAGGCTGGGAAGCAGATGGGAAGGCGACATCCCCTCAGCAGGTCAACATCCAGTTCAAGGTACACTACACCACAAGCACCGATGTGCAGTTCATTGCAGTAACGGGAGACCATGAGAATCTTGGGGGATGGACCAGATACATCCCACTCCACTATTGTAAGGATGGGCTGTGGTCTCATTCTGTCTTCCTGCCTGCGGACACGGTGGTGGAATGGAAGTTTGTGTTGGTTGAGAACAGGGAAGTTACTCGCTGGGAAGAATGCAGCAACAGACTCCTGCAGACTGGCCATGAGGATAAGGTGGTTCATGGGTGGTGGGGGATTCACTGACTCACAGTGCAAAGCATCCTAGCGAGAGGCTGAGTCAGAATGTGGAAGAGGCTAAGGCTGTAGAGCACACTGCATAATTTAAAGGCAGTGGGAACCAAACTGTAGCCATCAGAGTTCTTTCAGAGTTGTTAGTGTGGCTTTTGTCCAAAATGTAGGAAGATTTATGCATGCCCATGATGCTTCCTCTGAGCTGGGACTTTTCCCTTATTGCACTGACTGGTTTGTGCTGACACATCATCACTTGAGGGGTTGATGGTCCCTTGAGGGGTAGTTGGCTTGGCTAAGACTGAGGTATGGACTATGGGCAAGGAGAAACTAACCAACTGCACAAGTACAAGGTAGAGCCTGTAGCTCTTAGAATAGGGAGATGGCAGTTAAGTCTCATTAAATACAGCTAAAGCAACATGTTTACATTTTAAAATGACACCATATTGGAACTGTGACCAGTCAGGACTGGAGTGACACTCAGAGACTCCCCATTAGTTTTTGTTCCATTATTAGTGCTGAGGATAGGTGTGGAGTTAGCAGGGGTGTCTTTGTTTTAATGCCCTAATCAGCATTGGTCATCCAAGAAGTGGAGGGAGTGGGATGGGTGAGAGATGGTGAGGAGGCTTGAAAGGTATACTGTACACCTTTGAGAACTGGGAGTACAGTGCTTACGGGTCCTTGCCTGGCTCCAGCAAGGGTATATGTACCCTTTACCCACGGCGTCCTGCCAGACTGTCTCTGTCCACTTCCCCCACCCCACTCCTACCAGGTCTCAACAGATGGGCTGCCCTGGGGAAGTTTTTTCCATCTGTCACCTCTTCACTCCCCTTTCATACCAGTGAGTGAAAATCTACATAGGACCATGATAAGGAAGACTATCTTTACTCAGAGAAGGAATAATTATTAAGTTATAACTGAATAATAAATCCTGAGTGTAATATCTTTATAAAATGTCTGAATTATTCGTTTCAATTTTAGCACCATAACTAGATACAAAGTAATGGTGTAGTATTTGACATATAGAGAAAAGCAAACATCAAGCATTATAGCAAATGACATACGGAGTCTATTTTTTTCCTTTTGGAGAAAGTTTTAAATATTTCCTAAAACTTTGCTTGGAAGGGAATTCAGCATGCTCATATTTAAAGATGAAGTGTTCTTGAGGCAGGGTTTCTGGTAGCCTAGACTTACCCAAAAATTCACTGTGTAACCAAGGATGTCCTTGAAACTGATCCTCCTGCCTCGGCTTTCTCAAGTGCTGGGATTACAGGCATGTGCCACCACACCCTGTTTTATGCAGTGCCAGACACTCTACCTCTGAGCTACATCCCAGCTCTTGATTGTTGTTTTGAGAGGGGATAGCCCGACTGGCCTGGAACTTGATCTATAGCTAAGGATGACCTTCAAGCCCTGATTGTTAGAGGGGATAGCCCGACTGGCCTGGAACTTGATCTATAGCTAAGGATGACTGACCTTCAAGCCCTGATTGTCACTGGTTTGTGCTGACACATCATCACTTGAGGGGTTGATGGTCCCTTGAGGGGTAGTTGGCTTGGCTAAGACTGAGGTATGGACTATGGGCAAGGAGAAACTAACCAACTGCACAAGTACAAGGTAGAGCCTGTAGCTCTTAGAATAGGGAGATGGCAGTTAAGTCTCATTAAATACAGCTAAAGCAACATGTTTACATTTTAAAATGACACCATATTGGAACTGTGACCAGTCAGGACTGGAGTGACACTCAGAGACTCCCCATTAGTTTTTGTTCCATTATTAGTGCTGAGGATAGGTGTGGAGTTAGCAGGGGTGTCTTTGTTTTAATGCCCTAATCAGCATTGGTCATCCAAGAAGTGGAGGGAGTGGGATGGGTGAGAGATGGTGAGGAGGCTTGAAAGGTATACTGTACACCTTTGAGAACTGGGAGTACAGTGCTTACGGGTCCTTGCCTGGCTCCAGCAAGGGTATATGTACCCTTTACCCACGGCGTCCTGCCAGACTGTCTCTGTCCACTTCCCCCACCCCACTCCTACCAGGTCTCAACAGATGGGCTGCCCTGGGGAAGTTTTTTCCATCTGTCACCTCTTCACTCCCCTTTCATACCAGTGAGTGAAAATCTACATAGGACCATGATAAGGAAGACTATCTTTACTCAGAGAAGGAATAATTATTAAGTTATAACTGAATAATAAATCCTGAGTGTAATATCTTTATAAAATGTCTGAATTATTCGTTTCAATTTTAGCACCATAACTAGATACAAAGTAATGGTGTAGTATTTGACATATAGAGAAAAGCAAACATCAAGCATTATAGCAAATGACATACGGAGTCTATTTTTTTCCTTTTGGAGAAAGTTTTAAATATTTCCTAAAACTTTGCTTGGAAGGGAATTCAGCATGCTCATATTTAAAGATGAAGTGTTCTTGAGGCAGGGTTTCTGGTAGCCTAGACTTACCCAAAAATTCACTGTGTAACCAAGGATGTCCTTGAAACTGATCCTCCTGCCTCGGCTTTCTCAAGTGCTGGGATTACAGGCATGTGCCACCACACCCTGTTTTATGCAGTGCCAGACACTCTACCTCTGAGCTACATCCCAGCTCTTGATTGTTGTTTTGAGAGGGGATAGCCCGACTGGCCTGGAACTTGATCTATAGCTAAGGATGACTGACCTTCAAGCCCTGATTGTCCTACATCCACCTGCCAGTTTTTGTGTTAAAAACGTATAATATCTATTGGCAAAACAGTACTTAACTCTGGCTAAGATGGTCTTTGCTGACAAAAGCATAGACTCAACTGAAAGCAGCATCAGATGGTGCTTGGCAGGCTGCTTGCAAGCTTTGGGCTCACAGCTCTTTTGGGATGAAATTCATACACTGTGCCTATGTCTCTCATAATGAGGTCCACAGAAGGCACCGGCCATTACTTCACAATGCTTAATACTCCTGTGAAGTAAAGCAATTTAAACAAAAGTCCCTAGAATTCTATTTATAGTTACTGATGAAATAAAAGTTAATCTTTCATTAAAGCCAACTGACTTAAACAGATTGTGCTATTATATGTGCACATATTATCTATAATTAAATATAAGTTTATTTTGACCATCGTCTGTGCTTAGAGTAGTAACTGTCATTGGGAGGAACACGAGGTTCCCCTGAGAGAGCATGTCCACCCTCCTAGTCACTGACTGCTGGGTCAGGGCTCCTGCTGGCATCCGTGTAAGAAGGTAGGAACACCATACAGACTTCTTGCCCCTGTATCAGTCATCAGTAGATCATCTCTGAAGCAGCTCCCCTCCTTGTAGAGTTTCCAAATCCCTTCTTTCCTGTGGTGTGGCCATCCTAAGGGCCCTCCCCACCCTCTGCTTCCAGCCTGTAGGAAGGGAATAACTTGAGGAAAAAACTGACTGCAGTATTAACACTTTGACCTGAAGGAGCACACAGTTCTCTGTTGGTGTTCCATTCCACCTGTGAGAACTAGTCAGATGACTACCCCCACAGGTGAGGGACATGGGGCCACAACATGGCCTCCAGCTAGGCAGCTATGTCTCCATGACAACTGTGTACTAGGGAGTAGAAAAACACATTTTTGAGGAACTGTTAACCCCTGCCACATTGTCCCTAATGTTTTGCACAAGTGAGACATTTATGTCTGTCCTCCTTGTCTCATTATATTTGGTTTGAATACTCCCGATTTACTAAAATTTAATTAAGGTAGACTAAATTAATTCAATCTAGAGCTTACCTATTCATTTGTTAAAGATTAACGAAGTATTGTCTTTTCTTTAGTTTTATGCAAGAGGAGAGATTTCTAAGAGTTTTGACTGGGGCCACCAAAGTTTTGTTGATTACTGATATTGACAGAACAATGAGTTCAAGGTCACCAAAAAAGCTGCTGTTTGTCCAGAATGCTGGAGTTTGTCCTTCTGTTCTTGGCACTGTACCCCTTATACCATATGAACACTTTTTTCCCCCTCAGAATTTGTTTAAGCTGAAAAACAAAATGGCTCTACTATCTTAGAACCAGTAAAATAATTTAAAACAATTATACCAACATGCTAGAATTAGCATAAATTAATGCATTATAATATGTGAATACTTTCAAATCTAGCTGGTAATGTTCCAAGTTTTACTTTGAGAGCATTCAAGAAGCTTTTTTCAAAACAGAGTTTACAGGACAGGGTATCTTTTATTAAATTTTTACATAAAAAGAAAAAGTCCACAGGGTACTAATTATAAGTAACATCACAATTAATTGGGCGCGAGCCCTCTGTAGTGAGCAGGTGAGCAATGTGTCATTTTAGTAACATTTTTTCCTGGTCTTTCACTTTCTGAATCCTCTTTTCTTGATTTCTTATCATTGAAGACATTGCTGAAAATGTCAGTAAAGCAAAGTTAGATTGGAAAGTCAACTCGAGTTCTAAGCCCCCTAACACTTGTCTTCGGGGATGAGCCTTTAGCGTGCGGATCAGACTGACTCTGAGCCCAGCGGTGTAAAATGGAAGACTTCAATGCAATGCACATTTGTGAAGGCTGTTGTAGTGAGCAAACTTACAGCCTCTGTAAGCAGGATGAGATAAAAGAAGCATGCTGCAAGTGCCTCCAGAGGGTAGGTAATAGAAAAGCCACCTGTCCTCTAATCTCGGGGGCAGAAGTCACTACTGTAAAGAGTTTGGGAGAATTTCTCTGAAATGTGTATATGGTTTTGGCTTTTGGTTGTGCTAGGATTGAACCCATGGCCTTTCACATTTGAGGCAATGTCCTAACACCAAGCTGTATCTACAGCCCTGTACTTTAAATTTTGATAAACTCTGCCCAAACCCTCCAAAACTATTTGTACAGAACTTCAAGAGCCACCCTACCAGGCACTGCCTCTAGTCCAAGGTACTGTTTCTGTTAAACAAATGCTACACAACTTCTAATTAGATGACTTTAGGATGACATAAGTAGGAATAACTCAGAAATATAAATCAAAGTGTGAGTTTAAGGCAGGCCAAAAAAAAAAAAAAACACGTTCTTTTAAAAACAAACAGTAATATGAGCAGCACCAATTATATTTGGTTTGTTAAAAAAAGAAAAGCAAAGTTTGGTGGGTGGGAG